AAAAAAAAAAAAAAAAAAAAAAAAAAAAATATGAATGGTTGAATTTTTAGTAAGAAATCTATAGGGTTTGTTTAACCTCTGGGAATCTAATTTGCATCAAATCTACATTTTGCTTTTGTGCTCTGTCGTGGCCATTTATTGCTACCTTCTAATTTTTTAATTTCTCATTTTCCCTTAAGTGTGTTACATTTCAAAGTAAGTTGGTACTTCAGAGACTGCTATGAAAAAAAGAAATTCTTTTGACTTAAAATAAAAGAGGAACTTTACTAATGTAATGTTATTTGGCATTCGTATGGAGCATAAACTATACCCTGGGATAGTCACCCAAAAGGGATAAGACCAAAGAAAGAATCTGCTTGCTTATTAAAAATGCACACATTACCTCAGTCATAGGAATAGCCCCAAACTCGCCCAGCCACTGCCTCTGCAGATCACCCACCAGCATTAGCATTACATCATATGACATTATGGAACAATCGTGAACTCTGTGTAGTACTTGAATGGATTGTTTTGAAAGAATACACTGTCATTAACTGGAATAAAAGCTTTCTGAAATCAAACCTGGGGGGTAGCCCTCACTGTGTGACCCTTTTACTTCTTTGAGAAACAGCCTCATCCTGAAAGCAGTAAAGGGGGAAAGAGATTAGAGTATAAAGGCAACAGAGATGAGTGATCCCTGCCCAGGCCAGCAAGCAGATGCAGGGCTTTAAATTACCAGGCAGAACAATGTCAAAGCAGGAGGCTCTGTAACAAATGCAGCACCTGAAAATCCAAGCCAGCTCACGCCCATCACCCTATTTCCCATTACAGCCTCATGATTTTTACCATGGGCTTCGCTAGAATTGGAAACTGAGTCTTTTTTAAATCAAAGTATAATTGACTTACCATATACTATATTCGTTTCAGGTGTACAACATAGTGATTCGATATTTTTATACATCACGAAAAGATCACCATGATAAATCTAGTTACCAGCTGTCACCATAGAAAGTTATTACAATATTACCGATTATACTCCTGATGCTGTACCTTACATCCCTATGATTTATCCATTTTAAAACTGCAAGTTTAGGGGCTTCCCTGGTGGCGCAGTGGTTGAGAGTCCGCCTGCCGATGCAGGGGACGCAGGTTCGTGCCCCGGTCCGGGAGGATCCCACATGCCGCAGAGCGGCTGGGCCCGTAGGCCATGGCCGCTGAGCCTGCGCGTCCAGAGCCTGTGCTCCGCAACGGGAGAGGCCACAACAGTGAGAGGCCCGCGTACCGCAAAAACAAAACAAAACAAAAACAAAAAAAACTGCAAGTTTATACGTCTTAATCTCCCTGACCTATTTCCCTCATCTGCAATGCCCCTCTCCTCTGGCAACCACCAGTTTGTTCTCTGTATCTATCAGTCTGAAACTGAGTCTTATTCTATGTACAAAATAGTTAAAACTCGATACAAAATAGTTAAAACTCGATGTCCTGATGTCATCTTGAGATGGGCTATCACTTATAGCCATGTGACTCTAGGCAATGAATTGAAGCTCTCTGAGCCTCAATGTTTTAATGTAGAAAACAGAAAGAATGGTAGGTATGCAGAGCACGGGAGGTGAGGATTAGCTACGATTACTATCATGTTTATACTTATCACTTCCACCCAGTTGTCCCCTTTGCCTACCTTTTCTAATCACTGCCCAAGATGTTTCTTCTTCACAAGTAAAACGCAAGCATCAACTTAAATGCTCACTGGCTTATTTTGTTCCCTGCAGTCTGGCCACTGCCCCTTGTTACCATTTCTATTTTCACATCACTCTCCTCAGGTGATTTCTCTACCCTCTTTAGCCAAATCCCAGGACTCCTCTTAACTACAAGCTGCTTCTTGCGAGCCTTCCTCTCTCCTGCACCTATTCTCAACATACTCAACAGCCAAGGTTCAGAGAGGTGAAAAACAAAGTCAGGGCAACACAGCTAGTTGGTAGCCAAGTCACAATTAAAATCCAGGTAGTAGAACCCTTGTAAACTGTTGGTGTGAGTATAAACTGGTGCAGCCACTGTGAAAAACAGTATGGAGGTTCCTTAAAAAACTAAAAATAGTACTACCATATGATCCAGCAATTCCACTCCTGTGCATACATCCAGAAAAAACAAAAACACTAATTTGAAAAGATACATGCACCCCAATGTTCATAGTAGCACTATTTACAATAGCCAAGATATGGATGCAACCCAAGTGCCCATCAACAGATTACTGGATTAAGATGTGGTAATATATATACAATATATATTACCTTAGAAAAGAATGAAATACTGCCATCTGCAGCAATGTGGATAGACCTGGAGAATATTATGCTTAGTGATATAAGTCAGACAGAGAAAAAGACAACTACTATATGATATCATGTATATGCAGAATCTAAAACATAATACAAATGAAGGTATATGCAAAAGAGAAACAGAGTCACAGATACAGAAAACAAACCTGAGGTTACCAAAGGGGAGAGAAAAGGGGTAGGAACAAATCAGAGGTATGGGAGGAACAGATACAAACTACTAAATATATCAATAAGATAGACAAGCAACAAGAATATGCTGCATAGCATAGGGAATTAAACCCATTATCTCAGAATAACCTACAGTGGAATATAAGCTGCAAAATACTGAATCACTATGCTATACACCTGAAACTACACAATATTGGAAATCAAATATGCTTCAATCAAAAATGAATAAATAAAATCCAGGTAGCAATGCAAGCAAATCCAGCTGTGTCGCATTAACTGCACCACACTAATAATTCACTCTTGGGGTTCCCAGTGACGATTTTAAATCTGAGGTTAGCTTCCCTTAACACCAAACCTTCTCCCAGATGTTTCCCCTACTAGTCAACTTATCATAAAATATGAATTATTTCAAATGCTTAAAGAAGAAACACTAATTCCAGAAAATTATTAAATACATCTCAGAGTTCTGGGGTTGTTATTTTAGTTTTTAGTTTTTGTTTGTTTTTAGCATTTCCCAGAAGTGGGGACAAAACTAGATCTCACAGGCCTCACCAAGGACTAGACGACTTTGGGAGGAGAGAGGACATAGTTAACAGGAAGTGGAGGCATGAACACTATGACTGTGAGCAATACATACAACTCCAGAAGGGATGGAGGACAGAAAACAAGTGTCCGCCTCTAAGTTTCTAAAGATAAAGGTGTGTGTTTTAAATCTGATTGCACAAGGATATATGAAAATGGAAATTTCATTAATGTTGGCTTCTTTGGAGAATCACATTATTCCTCAAAATAACAGAAACTAATGCACAGATGGGTAACGGGATGTAATGTGCTGTTTTGCATAAGAATCAGAAGAGTTTACCAGTGTCTAACACTGAGGCCTCTGGGGGAAGATTGAAAGCTTGTATTTCCTCATCTGTAAAGCAGATGAGGTAGTGGGAAGAATGAGAAGTATATGGATCATCTATAAAGCACCATTTGGTTTTATTTTTGTTTTTTAAGTACAGTGTGGAATAGTTTAACTAGTACAGGATTTGACATCAGTGATAAAGGTTCAAGTTCAACCTCTAGCTGCCAGCTGTCTAATCTGGCACAAATCATTCAAACATATTTAATGATGTAAGAACTAAAGGGATAATGTATATGTGTGTGTAGGGGAGGGAACCTTTTAATACAAATAGCTCTATAAATGTAAGATGTTTCATATTATATTGTACCAGGTTAAGTAAACCAGGGTAGGTCAACTAAATTATTTACATTTCCTAATCTTTTGTGGTGAGAGGGAGACAGAGTGATTCTTACAGCAGAAACCCCATTCAGTTAATAAAAAATCACTGCCACTACTTAATAAAAATATGAAAATAACAAAGTAATGCATGTATTAATAACAAGTTAATAAAAATATGAAATTATCAAATGAATAATAAAATTCATATTCAAAGGTAACTACCTCAATATATGCTAATCATATATTAAGAGGGATGATGGTTTGTACACATTCTCTCCTTTCAAACACGAACTCCCTGTCAAACAAAACAGCTGCCAGGATTAATTATAAGTGTATCAGTGATCATGGAGATTTTCTCTATGGAGGTAAACTAGTCAACTCATAGTCCAGATCACAAATAAGAATGAAAATCTTTTTGTGGAAATATGACAGGTAAGCCAACTTCATCATCATTCATTCATTCATTCATTTACTCAGTCCCTACTTTACACCAGGCTCTATTCCAAGTGCTGAGGATTCAACAGTGAACAAAACATGGAAAGTTCCTACCATCATGGAGCTTTACATTCTAGCAGGGAAATACAGGCAGTAAACAAATAAGTAAACTATGCAGTAAGTCAAGGGTGATTATGTACTCCAGAGAAAAACAAGCAAGGAAAAGGGCTACAATTCTAAATACAGCAGTCAAGGAAGGCTTCACCAAGAAAATGCCATTTAAGCAAAGACCTAAAGGAGATGAGTAAGGCACAGAGATATCAGGGGAGAATGGTGGGGCTATGCACACCTTTCCAGCAAGTCCAGGTAAGATAAAATGCAATCCCTGGAAATAATTTCTATCCTCTTAAATGTATCGAGGCTTGCTTGGGTCCTAGTATGTGGTCTATCCTAGAGAATGTTCTGTGTGCACTTGAAAAGAATGTGTGTTCTGAGTTTTTGGATGTAGTGTCCTGTATGTATCAATTAAGTCCAACTGTTCTATTGTGTCATTTAGGATCTCTGTTGCCTTAATGATTTTCTGTCTGGAAAATCTGCCTATAGATGTCAGTATAGGCAGTATAGATGCTACTATAGTCAATGTCTTATAATAACCTCTAATGGAAAAGAATCTGAAAAAGAATATATGTGTGTGTGTGTGTGTGTGTATACACACACATATATATATATAACCAAATCACTGTGCTGTACACCTGAAACTAACACAATATTGTAAATCAACTATACTTCAATACATTTTTTTAAAGAAATGCAAGCCCTTACCTTTCAAAAGTGGCTGGAAGGTTGGAATCTCTTGCAACTTGATGACATCGGGATCATTTCTGACATTCCGTGAGGCCTGGGAGCCCTGAGCTACAACCACAATATCATCCATCTTGGCTCTATGCTTAGCTGGAGAAGGGGCCACTGAAAATAAAGTTACACCGCTCAGGAACTGCATCTTATTTAGCGACCTCCATCTCACCAAAGCTGTTTTCACTGTAGTCATTTAAAAGGATATTTTTTACACAAAAGATGCTAACCACAGTTATCCTGCAGTGGGGGCTGGGTAGGGGAGATGAATTACAGAGGACTTCTATTTCCCATGGTATTAAAAAAAACCTTCAAACTTTATAGGACCATATACCATCTATGAGACTGCTTTTGTAATTATAAGTTTATTATTCAAAACACAAAACAATAACCATTGCTTTTAATTTTTATTTCTTTGATCCTCCTGACGTTTGTCCCTATTTCCCAATGAGGAAATAAGCATACAAAATTTAGCTGTGGCTTGCCCAAAGTCACCAGTGCTAGAAACAGAGTTAAGAAGGGAATTGGAGGTAAATGGATTGTTGGTGTACATGACCCATCCCAGTGATGCTGGGGTTGCAAAGCTGTGTAGCCACCCTATCACAGCAAGCCCAGCATGATGAATAGACCCTAGTCACAGGAAAAAAATCCTGGTTCTTAACACAAGATGATGGCACCAGCCCCCTCACCCTTAAAGTCACAGGGCAGAAAGAACCGGCAGGTCCACTGTAGGCTGAGGCAAAATAAAGAAACTTGAAGGACTGCTAAAGAGGCAGGTCAATTTCAGGTACCTAGGAGAATGTAATCCATTTAGAGGGAAGTGATTCAAACTATCAAGGACTCCCCAGACCAAGACATCCTCTGCTCCCAAACATCTTCTGGTTGGGGCAAGAGGGAATCTTTATTGCTTTACAGTCTAGAAGGTAGTATTTGCAGGCTCATCATAATCATGTCTCAAAGGTTGATCCAGGTATGCCGTAGAACTGCCCTGGAGGCTAATGTCTCTTAAGGCTTGGCATTCACTCTTTTAGAATCTCAGCTATTTTCATTGCTCTTCAAGAAGTCTCTCTTTGCCTCTTTTGGTAATTTACCTAATTTCTTACAAATCCCAAGCCAGAAATCTTTCCTAGTACAAATTCAGTGATTCCTCCTTCCCCAGATACCAGAGGAAAACAGAGTTTACTAGATTCTAGCTAGTCTCTACTACTTGTCTGTAAAATGGGGCTACTGTGAGGATTAAACATGAACACATGTGAAGCACTTAGCACAGGGAACCAGGTAAGTTCTAACCTATGCTATTCGGTAGTATTGGTTAGTATGCTCTAGTACTGGTTAGAGCCCATGCTGTTGGTTAGTAGGTGAGCAAGCCTATTAAAAAGATGACACGCGGGCTTCCCTGGTGGCGCAGTGGTTGAGAGTCCGCCTGCCGATGCAGGGGACGCGGGTTCGTGCCCGGGTCCGGGAGGATCCCGCATGCCGCGGAGCGGCTAGGCCCGTGAGCCGTGGCCGCTGGGCCTGCGCGTCCGGAGCCTGCGCTCCGCAGCGGGAGAGGCCAAAAGGGTGAGAGGCCCGCGTACCGCAAAAAAAAAAAAAAAAAAAAAAAAAAAAGATGACATGCTTCTCACAAAATATGCTTCTGGCCTGACACAGAGGCAAGAAGGTAAGCGGTAACAATTATTACTGTATTTGTTACAACAGATACTACATTCTGGATCTTTCAAAGAAATAAGAATGAACGTAGCAGTAGATGCTGCTCACCGTTAAAAGCTGTCTCAATCTAGCCCCCAGAATGGGAGACTGAACTAGCCTTGAAGGTTACATTTCAGTGTGGAATACCTATAGATCTGCTAGCTTCTACATTTCTGAACTACATATCCTACCAAGATCAGAGCAGTCCATGACCAGGGCTCTTTTTAGGCCCCAGATATAAGCCAATTTGGATTAGCAACTCCAGAGCTTATTTGGGACAGTCCCAGTGGTCCTAGAGTTTGGTGGGTAACAACAAAAAGAGGAGCAAATGATCCTCAATTAAGCATCAGCTGTTTTGAGTGCACATTATGCTAGAGGAACAATAATCCTCCCATTCCTATATCTAACTCGGAGAGAAATCTAAACGACATGGGCGGGGGAAAAATAGGGAAAAACACCAGATCCTGCCTTCCTAGCCAACTTCTATATTAGAAAGGGAGCCGAGACACCTTCCGATGGGAAGATGCAGTTTCTGCACTCGCTCTCACCCAAGGGTTCACAGCGATTGTTCACCTGCCACACATCCCTTCTGAAAAAGAATCTCTAGAACCCATTTTTAAGAAGGAATCTGTTCTTTCAGGTCCTATGACCCATCCACAGCGCGACCCAAATCTCACTGCCAGTCACGAATACTAAAGCCAAATATTAATTAGGTCCTCCTTCAAAGAGTAGGCTGCAGCTGAGAGGAACAGCTGTTCTGAAAACAAATAATGGGCTCGGGCGCCCACGCTGGCTTAGCTTGCAATCACAGGTACCGGGTTCCATCAGGGGAATCAAGGGTAGGGCAGATGGTATTTTTTTTTTTTTTCTTTTTTAAGAAAAAAGCATGGTGAGGGCTTTCTGTGCGTTCCTGTCCGCCGGTCCCAGTCCCCAGCACGCTGGAAGGCAGCCCGCCCCGCAAGCAAACAGGGCTGGCTGGAGAAGGGTGGAGATCAGGGCACCGACCTGAGGAGTTCAGATCGTTGGGTCGGCTCTCGGCCTCGGAGCTCTGCTCACTGCCCATGGTGCTGGCAGCGGTGGCAGCGGAGGAACGGCGGAACGGGCGGCGACCGCTCAGGCGGCGGTGCGACAGGGAAGGGGCCGGGGACCGGGATGCGGAGGCTACACAGGCTGCGCTGTGGGGATGGCGCGCCCAGCCCAGGCGGGGGCGCGGGCGGCGGGGGACGGGGAGGCCCTACTCGGGGAAGGGCGTGCAAGGAGGTGCGGCGGAGCTATAGCCTGCACGCCTGCCTTATTTAGGGAAACCCAAGCCAGGGAGGCGGGGAAACCGCGGGCACCCGCCGCGCCTGCAGCCGGCGGGCGGCACCGCTTTCACTCACTCGCTCTCTCGGGCGCCGCACGCTCGTTCCTTCTCGGACGCGGATTGGCAGCGCCGGCAGCGCGCAGCCGTCAGTTCCGGGTTAGAAGGCCCACCCCCCACCCCCACCCCGCCAACGCCCCGGGACCGAGGGAGGGCGGGGAAACTCGCGCCAGCGACTTCCCGGGGCGCAGCCTTAAAGGGACCGATCACCTCAACGCCAGAACCGCCCCAAAGGGTTACCCGTTTCCTGTTGTAATGTTGCGCGTCACCTTTAAGAATCATCCACACACTAAGCACTTTATCCCCATCGTTAAAACTTTATTAATAGGCTTTTGGGGAGTTTCTTTTGTTTTTGTGTGTGGTTTTATTGGTATTTATTTTTGGGTTTTTTATATTGACATAATATTGTATGAGTTTCAGGTGTACAACATAATGATACGATATTTGTAATATATTGCAAAAAATTTAACCCTGTTTTACAGATGGGGAAAGAGAGGTGCTAGATAGATTTAGGATTGGAATCCACAACTGCCTGGATGCCAAGCTCCTGTTTCAGTTCCCAAAGCTGGAAGTTTGGCAGTGGAAGACCGTACAAAAAATACTAGATGGTGAAAGAAGGAGCTGGAAATGAGAGAAAAATGAGTAGAAAATGCTGATTCATGTGTTAGGGGGTTTGTGCATCTTCAAAGGAAAGTGGATGCCCCAAGTCTAGTCACTTTCTGGCCACCTTGACAATTATCCGCGAGGCATTCTGAAACGAGCAGAGGCAAGAAAGGAGTACTATAGGTAACGCAATACAGAAACTTCCAACTTTGGCAGGTCAAGGACTTACACCTAGCAATGAATTCCCACCAAGGAGTTGGGTGGCTCTGGGCTTCTCAGAACTCTGCAAGTCATTTTATATTGTTTGTTTCACGAAATTTCCAGCAAATGCCCTGAGAGTGTCAAATTGATGAAATGATTTTCAAGTCCCTTCTAGTCTACCATGTCACAGACATTTCTCCTGTTTTCACTCATTTGATTTTCACAACAACCCTGACGCCCATAAACAGGTAACTTCCTCATGATTAGGTAAGTGGTGAAAGTAGGATTTAGGACTTCATGCTCTTTCCTCTGCTCACCATTACAATACAGTCGCCCCTGGGTATCCACAGTCCCTGGGTATCCTCGGGGGATTGGTTCCAGGACCTCCAGCAGATACCAAAATCCATGGATCCTCAAATCCCTTACAGTTGGCCCCTCCGATTTCGAAGGGTAGGAACACTTGGGTATGGAGGGCCCACTGTACCTTGAGAAAAGTGCAAATGAATGTAAATTCAGTATTTTGTGGGAATGTGAAGATAGAACTAAAAACTGCCTAAGAGATCAAAAGAGTCTCCTAAAAGACTATAGTCTTGAAGTTTACATAAACCAACAGGCTGATGGGCCTGGGAAGGCCTTACTAAGCAATGTGCCCATTCCCTCCTGGGGCTCTCTCTCAAGACATTCCCTCTTTGGGGATGGGTGAGAGAAGAAGTAAAAGTGGGGAGAGTAAGTCATATTCTGACTCTTGTTCCCTCTCTTCCACACCAAAGTATATTTATCTTGTGTTCCATACCCTAATCTGTACTGATGTGATGGTGATTTTTATGCTTCCCTTATGATAAACGTTTCATTCTAAAAGGATTATTCTGTCCATCAACTGATGAACAGATAAATATATCACCCCATTCTCTACTGACCAGCAAGGTCTCTGCCGAGAAATCTGCTGACAACTCTATGTATGAGAGATTTTGTTTTTCTTGATGCTTTTAAAATTCACTCTTTGTTTCTGATTTTAGACAATTTTATGATTTGTCTTAGAAAAGAACGTTTTGGATTGAGATTTTGGGGTGAGCTATTAGCTTCATGAAGTTATATGTCCAAGTCTCTCCCCAGGTTTGGAAAGTTCTCAGCTATAATTTCTTTTTTTTTTTTTTAATTAATTAATTTATCTATCTATTTATGGCTGTGTTGGCTCTTCGTTTCTGTGCGAGGGCTTTCTCTAGTTGTGGCAAGTGGGGCCACTCCTCATCGCGGTGCGCGGGCCTCTCACTATTGTGGCCTCTCTTGTTGCAGAGCACAGGCTCCAGACGCACAGGCTCAGTAATTGTGGCTCACGGGGCTAGTTGCTCCACGGCATGTGGGATCTTCCCAGGCCAGGGCTCGAACCCGTGTCCCCTGCATTGGCAGGCAGATTCTCAACCACTGCGCCACCAGGGAAGCCCCTATAATTTCTTTAAATAAGCTTTTTACCCTTATCTCTTGCTCTTCTCCTTCTGGAACTCCAGTGATACGTACATCGTCTCCCTTGTGGTTTCCTATAAGTCCCATAGGTTTTCTTCATTCCTTTTCTTTTTTTAAAAACTTAATTAATTAATTTATTTTTGGCTGTATTGGGTCTTTGTTGCTGGGCACGGGCTTTCTCCAGTTGCAGCGAGCGGGGGCTACTCTTCGTTGTGGTGCGCGGGCTTCTCATTGCAGTAGCTTCTCTGGTTGTGGAGCACGGGCTCTAGACACACAGGCTTCAGTAGTTGTGGCTTTCAGGCTCTAGAGCGCAGGCTCACTAGTTGTGGCTCACAGGCTTCGTTGCTCCCTGGCATGTGGGATCTTCCTGGACCAGGGCTCGAACCCGTGTCCCCTGCATTGGCAGGCAGATTCTAAACCACTGCACTACCAGGGAAGTCCTCTTCATTCCTTTTCATTCTTTTTTTTCTTGCTCCTCTGTTTGGGTAATTTCAATTGATCTAGTGGCCTTCTAGATCACTGATCCCTGCTGCTTGGTCAAACCTGCCATTGAAGCTCCCTGTTGAATTCTTCAGTTCAGTCATATTCTGCTTCAAAATTATTGTTTGGTTCTTTTTTTATGTGTTCTGTCTCTTCATTGAACTCATTTTGTTCTTGTATTGTTTTCCTGATAGAGCTAGATTGTTTGTGTTCTTTTCTAGCTCTCTGAACATCTTTAGAACAATTATTTTGAATTCTTTATCGGGCAATTCTTGGATCTCCATTTCTTTGGGGCCAGTTACTGGAGGCTTACTATATTCCTTTGGTGGACTCATGGTTCCCTGATTCTTCATGATCTCTGTAACCTTGCATAAGTGTCTGCTCATTTCAAGAAGCAGTCACCTCCTCCAGGCTTTATGAGCTGACTTTGGTAAAGGAAGATTTTCACTTGCAGGTGGGGACATGCTGGAGCATGCTGTGACTCCAAGTCTAGTGGTGCAGGACGCCAAGTGCAGGGGTATGTGGTGGCACAGGGTTCAGGGTTACATGATATCTTTTAACTCAGGCCATTGGAATCCACAGTGTCAACAACTGTGGCCCTTGGCAAGCACTTCAGTGTGTTTATAGTGGCTCTAAGGGCTGTTGGGGTCCTCAGCAGCCCCTCCAGATCCGGTGGCTAGAGACCAGACAGGTAGTAGTGGATGCTGATGCAGTAGTGATGCACACACTCAGCTGCAGGGGTGCAGCTGCAGGTGCCTATAGAGAAGCAGGAGCTGGTTGCCAACACACACATAGCAGTGGGGGACTGGGCAGGCAGAAAGGGTCAGTGCCAACCAAATGCTCATTGGCACCTGCAGGGGTCCTGGCTGTTGGCTAGCACTCCTTTAGCTGCCAGGTCTCACCATGGGTGCATGGCAGTGGAGGCCAGTGACAGGGGTCTGGCCAGGGGCATGCAGGTGCACATCTGGAGGGACTGGCTGGAGGTGAGCGCAGTGGTACAGGCCAGTGACAGAAGGGCCTGATCTGGGCCCACAGGCAGCTGCGGGGTCCCTGGCTGTTGGCACGCCCTTCTGTGGCTGCACAGTTTGCCCCAGGCACGTGCACTGCAGTGGAGGCCAGAGACGGGCATCAGGTGGTTGGCATGCAAGGTTGCAGCTGGAAGGGCTAGCCCAGATTGTGCACATGATGGTGGAGTTCAACCAGAGGGTCCAGACTGGCATCTTGCGTTCATGCAACCACAGAGGGCTGGGCTGGCTGCCAGTGTTGTTCCAGACTCCAGGGGAGGATAAGGGCAGGGGAGGGAGCAGAGAGGGACACAGGTGACTGTCATCAGTGGGTGTGAATACCTACAGGGTGAAATCTATGGGGGGCGGGGTCTGAGGTAGCCGTGCTGGTCATTGGTTTCTTCAGTGGTGAAAGCTGCTGGGTTTGTTTGCAGAGCAGGTCACTGGAACCGTGATCTCTTCTGCTGCATAACTGCTGTTAGAAGTTCCTGCTTTTCTTCCTTGTTCCTAGCCATCTCTATACGTCTTAGCTTTGCAGGTCTGGGTGGGGTGAAACCAAATGTGGACCATCATGCGGTGCCCTGAAAGGCTGAGGAAGCTGGGTCCTCACCCCGCTCCTTCTTTCTAGCAAGGGCAACTCTTTCTTGCTGGCAAATTCCCTCTTGGCGCTGAGCAGTGCTGGCTAGGGGTATGGGATGACGTGGGCAAAATCAAGCTACCTTCCTTCTTTCCTTGTGTAGTTATTCTCAAGTTTTTTGTTCTTCTGGGTTGCTGTAGTTTCTTACGTGGACTCCAGAGCTCTCCCAGACCTGTTTTTGTTTGTAGATAGCTGTCTAACTGTTCATCTTTGTGGGGGGACAGAGGCTGGGGCCTCCTATGTTGCCATTTGTTTTCAATGAATGGATAAATAAAACGTGGTATATCTGTATTGTAAGGTATTATTTGACAGGGAAAAAAGGGGGAATGAAGTACAAATACATGCCGCAACATGGATAAACCTTGAAAACATTATGTTATGTGAAACAAGCCCATCACAAAAGACCACGGATTGTAGATGCCATTTACATGAAATGTCCACAAGGGGCACTATAGAGACAAAAATAAGTAAGTGGTTGTCTAAGGCTGAAAAGGAGGGCGGGTGTGGAGGGGATATGGGGAGTGAC